TCCGGAGATCATCCAGCCAACTACCGTGGTTGCAGCGTCTACAAGGAGCTCCAACGCCGAAAAACGCCGACCACTAAAAGTAATTTCTTACATGATACTATCAAACCAAATGTTAAACCTCATAATGTAAAAGAAAGCCACCCACATGCTACCCTTTTGGAAAAAAATGAATTCAACCCTACAAAAACTTATGCACAGGCCACAGCTAGTCAACCATCTCAACCTTCTCCTCTTTCTGACCTAACTCAACTCATGTCCTCCTTTGTTGGTGAACTAAAATCTCTTATCAACCCACTAATTGCTCTCCTGACACAAGTTATCACTTCACTCCTAAACAAAAAAAATGAATAACTCCTACACTAATAACTCATTATCTATTTTACTGTTTAATGTTTAATATTTATAAAGATTTAATCCAAAATATGTATCCTTATGGCATAATCTTAGATATGGGGGGGGGGGGGGCAGTAGGAAAGTTCTCTGGTTCGTAGGTCTGTCCCAGTATTTATATTTTATAAAATAATATTATAGTTGATTATTTAATTATACTTTTACATTTCAAAATATTTCAAATCGCTCACAAAAAAAAAAAAAAAATTTGCCTAAACTCTAATTTAAGGGGGGGGATGACCTTTTAGTAAATTTACAAGGGGGGCGTAGAATGAAAAAGGTTGGGGACCACTGTACTAGACGGACGAGCATCAACCCTTAAGCCCTTAAATTTAAATACCTTCGTAACATCTAAGGCTTAATGACTTTAAATTTTGAATGGATTAAATTAGCGCATCATACCTTAATTTGAATGGTCTTAAATCAGCGGTTCCCAACCCATGGGCCGCTAGCAGCTTGGTACTGGACCATGAACCATATAATATTATTATATTATTATAACTGCTGTATGTATATATATATGCGCTTACGTATATAAGTGGGCCTCAGATTTTTTTTTACAAAATTGGTGGTCCGCACAACTAAAAAGGTTGCCTCTGTCTTAAATTGTTCAGAATAATAAATATTTCGGTGATACACGATTGCGGGCGGTACTTATCAGGGCCACCTTTTAATAACACGATTGTAAACATTTATAGTTCAACTGTGGGCCCCCGAAAATTACACGATTGCGGACACAATATTTGTATATAATACTTCGATAATCTAGAAATGTGGAAATTCTATATGTAATAATTGAAGTATGTTAAAGTAATTTCTGTTATATTCCTGACAATAATTTCATCAATAAACAAACGTCGAGAAAAATCGGTGGAAAAAAAAGTACCAGAATTAAATTAACTATTCAGAGCTATAATGATTATAAAAATCACCAAAACGTATTAAAATATTTAAAAACAATTTGTTGTCATTAAAGAGGGAAATTTGTATAAGATTGATAATTGTTGTAGGTAGACTACGTCGCACAACTTGGCAATGTTTCACCAAATTTCGACCTGAATCGTGTAATTTTTATAAAAAAATAATACCTTTTGTTATACAGTGGTCATCCACGATCGTGTCGCAACAAAGGCAAAGCATCCGCAGTCGTGTTTCACCCAAATATTTAGTTTCATAATCTTAAAGAAGTCTTATTTTGGAGGTAAATTATAAAGAGTATACTACTTTATGAAATAAATAGGTACCAACTGGCAGGGCCGGATTAAGGTTTTTGCCGCCCATAGGCTGAAATAAATTTACCGCCTAATTTACATAGGTATTGATATTTTACTAATATCTCATCGTAGTTTTTGGGTCACACCAAAAAAAAATTACCGCCCTACGCTTTAGCCAACACAGCCTAAGTGGTAATACGGCCGTGCCAACTGGTGTTTAGAGTTTATCAACACATTTTTTATGTAGGTCCTACATAGAAAAATGTCGTTTTCAGTAGACTTGGATAGAAAGACAACACATATTACGAATGGGTACTGGGAACCAGTTTGTTTAAGAAACTATTAAAAAAAAAAATTATTGAGAGATAGGACTTAATATTTTTATATTATCATACTCAATTAAAAAATATAGTTAGTCAGGTAAGTATCTATAAGACATAAGAATATTTAATTATGACCAGGGTTAGGATTTTATAGCATTTGCATATTTCTTATGAGATGCTTAAAAAATAGCAGAGTAAGCTAAAAATGTGTTTCGTGATACAGAGAATTCAAATTAAAAATTTTATTTTGCTTTTTTTTGCATATTTTATGATTTTTTAGTTTTTACTGCTTTTTTGGGGTGTTTTGAGACTTTTTTGCATTTTTACCTGTTTTTGTATCAAAACCTGTCATATTTTATGAATTTTTAGTATAGTAAACGTGTTTTTAGATTTTTGTCAATCGAATTATCAAATAAATTGTAAATGTACCTATAGATTTAGTAAATAGACCGATTACGATGATGCAACGCCGTACAGCGATTTTATTTAGGTATAATTTAATACTAAGATAATTTCTTATTGGGTATTTGGTTCTAATTTTGGTTATCTGCTGACTTTGTTGGGTTTTTATTATCGATTTCTACTGCGATTATTAATCGCCGATTATCAACATTGTATAGTTAATTCATTTTATACAGTCGTCTCGTGTGCCCGTACTCGTGTGCAGCTACCTATTATTGCGAGAATATACAAGCTGTTTGTCATATTATTGGATTACTTGACCAAGTCACCAAGATGATGCGATTAATCTTCAAAAAGCAAAAAAAAAATGTTAAGACAAACCTAATCTTGAAAATAACTTGGCATACATGAAATCAAATTTTTCTATTTTATCTGTAGCCATTGATAAATTGTAAGCAAAAAGTCTGTCCTTTGCCACATCATTAAATATTATTGAAAATATCGAAGAAACACTGAAAACACTAAATGGTGAACATGACAAACCTATATATTTCAAATTAAAAAACGTTTTAGAAAAAAATAGTGTTTAAATTAAAACACGTTTCAAATATCTTGGATGTCGAAGAAAATACAAATATTGGTGAATTACTTGGTGAACTTACATGTAGCGATATTGTATATTTCAAATACGAATTGTATCAGTGGACGTCGAACGTTCATTTTCGACGTAAAAGGCTTTGTTGGCAGACTACCGCCATCAATTCAAATTCGATACTCTGGCCAAGCATTTAATAATTCGATGTAACACTCAAGGTAAACATTTTAAATCGCTTACTTTTTATTTAAAATTTTTTTTAAAAATTAATTGAGTAATTTTTGTTTGCAGCCCTTCAGGATTCTGACCAGAGTGACTAAACTACGTATAATAATTCCAAATTTGTAAGTGATTATTGATTAATTAATAAATTTCCTTTTGTTTCATATTTTGTTGTTTTTATTGCATATTTTTAAAGCATATTTAGCGATAGTTAAGGCCATATTATAGCGCATATTTACGCAATCTTCTGTGTTATAAAATCCCAACCCTGATTATGACGTTTAAAAAAAATGGCGTACTTTTGAGAAAATAATAATAAATAGCTATAATCTGAGTTTAAATATATTATTATAATAATTCAACGCTAGTTTTTTGATTTGCATAATAAATTAACAATACATATTATGTATTAAAAGAACGCAAAACACAATTTTTTTAGCGTTACTGTGCCCTATATAATCGTGCATATTATTGTGTATATAGGTACCTAATATTAATATATTAGTACAGGTATTGTTCAAAAGTCTTATGGTTGACCTTTCACGGTTATAGAAGTACACAACTATTATATACTATAGATATACCTTATAAATTTTATGAATTATTGCATGCATATATATATTATAACATGTATTTACTGCACACACACACACACAACAGGTATTATATTATGTACTATGTTCCGTATGTATATATATCTATATTATTATTATATTGGTAAACCCGGGGCTGGTTATATACTTCGTCAAAACCATGAACGGCGGACGCATTTTAAATAATGAATTCTAATTTCATTGACCGTTCTAGCCAAGCCTGCTGTGCATACATACATGTACATTACCCAGGTTTAGGAAAAAAATACAAAATAAGGAAACCCCGTTGGCTGCCCCCCCCCCCCCCCCATACCATCACGGATTCGAAATGTCCGTATATTATATATTATGTATAAACACTGACCACCTCCACCTTCACATCAACTCCCCTCCGTACCTATGTTTACGTATACGCTATACGGTCCAATAAAAACTTCATTAATCAGTTTGCGTGTTAAGCCGATTTCCTTGTTTGAATGTAAAAATCGAAAAAAACAAAACGAAACGAAAACGAAAACCACTACACAAAACATAATAATAATAATATTATGTGCACGGGCGCCAGTCGTACTCGAAAAAGTTTTTAAAAAATTTAATATTCGTATAATAATATATAATATATATTATATAGTTCTTAACGGCGGTTCGCCCACACACGCACACACACATACACACACGCACGCAAGTACACACGTACACGCACACGCCACTGCACGCCACACACACACACACACACACACACACACACACACACCAACTGCGAGCGGCGACCGACGCGGCGGGCCATTTGTTGTTGAGACCCGGCGCCGCGGACACGTCTACGAGACAGTCATGGCCCAGCGGACGGTGCACGAGTTTTTGGCGGCGTACTCTAGTTGTTGCGCGATGGCCGCATTGCTGCTGCTGCAGCCGGCATCCGGCATGGCCGTCGTCGGAGTGGCCGGCGGTGGCCCGCTCGGTACCACCGCGGCGGACACCGTCGCCGGCGTAGTCGTTCCGGTACCGTCGTCCGCCGCCCGGAACAAGCGATGGTCCACGACGTTCGGAGGAAACTCGGGCAATAAGAACGTGACAGGTGAGCGCGGTCCGGCAGCATGATGACGGTACACGGTGTACCACTATATAATGCGTGTGCTTGATTCACTTACTGTCTGTACCCTACGTGTGTATTTGCTCGTAATAATATTTTTGTAAGACATTTTTCGTCCGTAATTGAGCTGCGTATATGACTGGCCGGCTTGTTCTTGTGCTGACCAATCACCGTTTAACCGTGTCACGAGAACAGTTTGCGTGGTTACTATACTTACACTTGTAGGTTCTGGAACACTAGTTTCCTTTTTAAAAAAAAAAAATCTGGTCAGTGTTTAATAATCATTTAGGTACCTATAAGGTTCAAGATGTTTCGTTGCTACTTGGGGAACACTGCAGCAAGTCATGCATTATACTTATTTGTAGATTTATTTATTTGCATAGGAATATTTATGCACGTTTCCCATGTATATAAAGCAAGAACTGTGGGGCATTTAATGGAAAATAGAGAACATACGAGAATTTAGTGGATCTATAATTGTTAATAAAATATACGTATACTAGATATGTATAATATAAATATTTTTATATGTTTGTGCATTGGATAGCACCCGCGGTAATCTCGGAAACCACAAAAGCTTTCGATAAAAAGAAAATAATACATTTCTAACGGCCAATATCTACTACTTTTGCCTGGTCAATCAGTAATTAGTATGTACATCATATTGTATAGAACAGAAATTGGGCTTCTGCCCGTTTTGTACAATAATATGTTACAACAATTAATATATATGCGTGTAGTGTTGCGACTAAGTATCATTTTGAGTCCCAAGACCAACAGAGATTACACTTTTGAAACCTATATTGACGAAAGCTACACAAGTTTCCCCGCGTCCTATTCTCCTCCTCCCCAAATTTGATGTAATAGTCTACCCAAACGCCGAGGAACGTAGAATGGTTGTGGATAATGACATTTTAATCGTTCTGGTTTACATCCAGAAATGGTAATTATTATCGTTTTTTATACTGCACATTGATTCATTGACAACACTGTTGTACAGGTAGGTATATATACAAACGTTTTAATTTTTTTTTATCGATTCGCAGTATACACTTTGGTTCTTTATGTATATTGTGTTTGTGCGAATAATATTATCAATGCTCGTGCTCGGACATGAAGGGAAATTAAAAAGTCGGCAGTGAATAGGAAAAATACGCGGAAAGAATGGATTAAGAGTGGTGGGCGGGGGTATAAGAAAGTAAAATAGCGAGGGGAGCAGAAAAAAAATATACTTATACATGCACTATTTACGGTTGTTTCGCACGCTAAGGCTGCGGCGGCAGCTAAGGTAACACCATGGGTACTTATTTATACACACACACACACACACACACACACATATATATATATATATATATCATAATGTTTATGTATTGTAAGTTTGCTGTGCTTTATATACAGCGGTAGTGGCGGCGACCATGGCGGCAACGGCTGCAAACGAACTGTTTGACGCCTTCGTCGAACACGTAAATAGAGGGAAAAAATTCCGAGTGCATACAATTTTGCATTAAAAAATTGTTTTGTATATATATATATATATATATAGGTACCGCGTGTCCCTGCCCGCCCACGTGTATAATATATATATATTTAGACTTTTTTTTACAAGTAATAGGTACCTACATAAAATGTTCTGTACGGTATATAACATTAAAATAATGACGTAACGATGGAAAAAAAAATTATGTGGCGTTATATTATATAATTTATAACACAATATGTATGTGTACACAAAACTCGGTGCAAACAATCGCAATAATTATTATAAACGCTAAAGTATGATGTATTATGTTATATATTGTATACACACGATTCGCTTGCAGGGTTGTTTGTCCGTTTTCCCTCCTGAGGTTTATTCTTTGGGTTTTCCGTTTCACGCGAACTTCACGATACAACGACGTCGCGTCCGTGCGTGTTCGCGAAGCACGTTGCTGGCCAGAGTGCTTTTTGGGTCCAAAAAATATTTTCCCTCATTTCTGCAGGATCTCCGATTTGGTTATAAAAAAAAAAAACGATTTCCATACACTTAGGCCCCCGTTTTTTTCCTCGGCATTTATTGAAATGCGCAGGAATAACGTTATTTTAGTTTATTCAAGGCCGCAGTATTCTGACGACGTCCCCCTGATATAATTTTTTGAGTTTTACTTTGCGAATTACTGCGGTTGCTTTTTTAACCGACCAACAATACCTGATTACCTAACGATTTCGCGCCCCTGAATGAGCCTTTGTTATAACTGTACGAATTTGAAGTGCTAACAATATTGTATTATTATTATTCGTATTGAATTTTGGGTACAGTCGTTTTGATTGTTTTTAATGATACAGGCAATGTATGCACAAGTACAAAAGACCAACATCTTTAAAATATAATTTAATACCTTAGCTTAAATATTGCTACTTTCCTTTCAGTGACTTAAAGGTGTACTCTAACGTACATTATTAAAAAATGTGGATATAAATAGTGTTGGATACGCAAATGTTTATATCATTTAGGTACCATATTATATTATCCGAAATAAATAAATTCAAAACGATTAAAATTTAAAATTACTCACTGTTAAAATTGGTCAAAAAGCTTAATAAATAGAGCCATACAATAAAACAATGTCACGCCCATAATCGAGACTTAAACGAAGGCTTAATTAAGGTGTATGACAATCCATTATTTAAGCACTTTACGGGCACAGTAGACAAGTACCTATATTCAGTTTCGGCGTTAGAAGTTGTTTCAAAAATTAGACCTGGTTTTTACTTATTTCTATAGGCATATGCAAGTTAAATCTATGTAACACGTCAACGCTGCAAAGCACCCTTCGCGAAATTAAGTATACCTACCCCTAACTTACTTAGGTCACGTTATAAACGGAATAGGCGTTTCGCCTGACCACATAATAAAATGAAAGATATATTTTACGTATAAAGTTCGTCGCTTGGATTTCTTGGATTAATGTTAACCGCAGATTTTGGTTAGTGGCAATATTTCAGATTTTAGTTGCCAATAGGCAATAATTCACATTATCCAAGGAATCTATATAACTGTTACATATTATTATAAACTCACTAATAATTGAACGATTTAATTTTTAAAATATACCAAATTCAACGTTCTATGTATTCATTTTGTTGTCAACTTAATAATTCATATAACAATACGATAATACTACGATATTTTTATAATAAATAAATTCTACATAATATAGGTTGCAAGTATAATTATTTAGTATTAAGTACTAATATAATTTATAGTTGGTACATTACTGGTTACGAAAAAAAAGATAAATTCATTGAATGTTGGAAATGATTAAAAACTCAAATATATTTAATAAGATTATTATTCAATAATAGTTATAATCTATTAGGGTAACTATAGGAAGTATTATGAACTGCTATATGTGGAAGTGTAGAACTATTGTGGGATCTGTAGTTACACAGTACACCTTAACTGTTTTAACTCATATTATCATCCTTTAATTATAATTTTTCAATGAAAAATAATTTCATTAAAATTTTTATAAAATTGAACTACCTATTGAATTTCTTTGTATTAAAAAATAGCATGTCCACACACAGACACACGATAGATTCAAAAAACTTGACTGATGAACGATTTTAAGCTAATGGAAGTTGTACAAATAAATCAAAAAAGATAGGTAAGCATAATTTGAATTGTTTTTTACAGTAGGTCTTATTCTATCGTTGTATCGTAATCTACAGAAAATTTTTATCGATAAACTTATTTATAGTGTAGTTACCATAAATTATTAATCGTTATTTTGATTATCGATTGTAAAAAAAATCCGGTGTACCTATTAAGTCATATATTTTGATAAAAAGATCTTATTCCAACAACAATTATCCATGTCAGGAGTTGTAATTCATTTTGATTCAAATCTAATTATAAAAATATTATGTATATAAGTGTATTACATTATTGTTACTATCTCATTTATAAAATAGATACATTCAAGATGTCTAAAAAATAAAAATTATTATATACTCATTAGGTACTTATAGTTTTCGTAGTGTATACGTACAGTTTACAAAATTTACTGTAGTTAGCAATTCATCTCAGAATTTAAAGCTAAAAAACTTAATACGGACATTTTATAATACGTCATTGTAATGTGTTATTATGTTAAAATTCACACTTCAATGTACGTGTAAATAATGTCAACTGATTATTATACAATGTAGGGCGTGTCTAATGGATTTTTCAAAAACTCGTTTCAAAGTGCGTGATTTATGAAAAAACTAATTACCGTCATACTTATATCCTGCTTTTCCCTTTATTAAATTCGCGACACGTTTTTGTTTAAACATCTTGTTTTTGTAAAAAGTTAATAGTAACTATTATTTTTCCACCATGAATAAAATTTGGTGTATATATAAAATAAAACGATACAATACTAGTTGCAAATAAATTGAATCTGTGAATATTTTTTTTCAGCGAATAATGCAGTTCAGGATTGTACTACGGACTCTGATTGTTTTGATACGCCATTTACATCTTGTGCGCTAGATCCGAGTGACAAGAAAAGAAAATGCCTGTGTGCAGATGGAAAACAGCCATTGAATGGCGACTGCTTAAAAAAGCCAAGAGGTATAACTGTATGAGCAATAAATAATTTGTTAAAACTTAATACCATTCAGTTTTACTAAATCGTGTTATCATTCATAATTTAGTGTCAAATATTTTGTTTTATGTATCAATATTTCGTTTATTATATTATCTCACGATTTATAACCATTCATTCACAGCATACACATATATGTATATATACTTAAAAATAACCAAAGGAAGTAAATTATTTACTTTTAACTTCTCAAAGTACCAACTGGTGTATTTTGTTAACAGAAATGTCCCTCAAAATTGAAGATTGAAGGAATTTTATTATTCCAAAATGTAATGACTTGCAAAAAAAAAATACATATCATAATACAACTTATTCATTTATCGGTCCATTCAGAATTAAAAAAAAGATATAATGTTTATAAAATAAACTAACTACTACTTTATTTCATAATATGACTCGGGCGCAGTGGATAGGCAATCTTGGTACAGCCGTGAGAAGAAGACAATTTAGTGTAATATTTTTCTTAGTAGTTACCCCAGAATTAATCATGAAAATACACAATACAAAACAACAGTTACTTTTTCTAAAAAAATAGATTTCTAGTCACCGATAGTATTTAAAAAATAAACTGAATAGGTCTTTCCGAGTAATAATTGGGTATTTCGAGAATAAACAATTTTTGTTGTGTTACATATTTTTTCATATATTTACAATTTAAATTGAGAGTATGCAATATAAGTATCAAGTACAGTATATTTATTTTTACACTACCTATTTAAGAATGATTTATTCGTTGTATTTTTACAATTATAGTGAGTTGACCATAAAATGGTCCAGCTTTATAAAACAAATTAAATTAACTTAGTTTCGATAGTCGATAATAGGTGTGATCTTATCCGAATTTCAACTCTATTTTAACTGGATGAGCATACATTTTTTATATAATATAGAATGTGTTACCAAATGATAGACGGATCATGATGTGAGAACAATTGCAAAAAAAAATATTTAATTTTACCACATTAAGTAATCAGTATGAAAGAGAAATAACCTATCACTGGTAGCGTATTAAAAGTTTAAAAACAGCTTTTTCTTGTTTTCTCAGAATTGCCTTTTATGGACTTACGTTGTTTCTCAAATAGGTAGTTTATTCTTTCATTTACCGAGTCTTTATTATAATATTTTCTATAACATTTCCGATAATTATATTTTTGTTGAACTGTTAGACAACATGTATTTTGTATGTTAGAAACAAATTTTTAGCAACATTCATTTTATTTTTAACTATATAACCTTTCAGTAATTTATTTTACGATTGATTTAATTTATATTCTGATTAATTATTTGTCTAATTAACTTTTGTGTATATTAATGCATTATACACCAATACGTAGGTAGGTATTATTATGTACTAACTCTTTGCCAGGACCGCTTTTTGTTCCAGCATTAAAAACATCATGTGAAACGGACGTGGAATGTTTGCCGAATGCTATATGCAAAAATAACGCTACATCAACGAATCCAAGATTGAAGATTTGTGCGTGTAAAGATGGATTTACCGAGGAAAAAGAGTCTTGCAACAGTAATTAAATATTGGATTTATTTTAACACTAGTTTAATAGCATCCCATATAAGTATAAACTGATATTTAAAAAAAAAAAAATGAACATAAAGATGTATAAAATAAAATTAGTTATAACGAAATACAATCTGAACACAAACACTTATTGCTATCGTAGAGATTATTACAATTTTTGGGTTGGATATAATATATATAATATGTTGGAAACCCCTTTATTTTAATTTTGTAGCGTTTAAATTTTTTCATCTAAGATGAGGATATTGGGTAAAAAGTTAGAACCTAGAAAAGTTATAGTTAAAACTATACATGTTCAATTAAAGTTCTAAACTATAATTTAAAAAAAAAATTAATTGACGTCTTTAATAGGCTTTTATGTGATAATTTAAAGGTAGGCAATATAATTTAACAATTCCAGAGTTTTTTTTAAATATTTTTTTATTTTAAAAATTTCACAAAATGCATGACAACTTGACGAGTAATTATTTTTAATTCTTAAATTCTTTAATGCTGTGGAGACGTGGAGTGAACTATGTGTTAGATTTGATTCTTTACCTAGTTTTAAATTAAAAACAATAAACGCTGTTAAGAAATTAAAATACACACTAATACCAATATTTTTATCACTTGATAATACTAATTTCATAAGTTTGATTTTGGATATAGGTGCATCGTTATATTTTACATTCACGAAAATATTCCTTAATGATAGTGATGGCCATTTTTAGGTAGTGTTTATACAACATAACATTAATATAGAATATAGTTCGTTATTTTTTTTTCCAACATACCATTATTAAAGTACAAACATTTATTTTCTATACAACTGCTGCTGAGTTTAATAAAAGTTGTTTTCGTTGAATGCCTTAAAATAATTAAACTACATAGGTACTAAAAATAATATGAATTTACGACATTTAATTTTATTTAGCGTTTTGCGAGTCTTGAAATAGTATTTTCGTATTTTAAATATTTTTAAATAAATAACATTTTTTGGATAGTTTAAATTTAAAATTTTAAGAGTGAGTATAATTTATTGATTTTACAATAAATTGTAATTTTGCATTTGGGAGCTTACAATTTTCATTATATATTAAATAGATAAATATATGTATATCAAGCAGATATTTTATAACCTATTGATTCAAGGTAAAAAATAAATCATAAATAATTAGTACTATTTAAAAAACATGCAAAAAACTATCAACGTTCTGTATTATAAAATATACATAATATAATATTACTGTTGTACAAATTGTTATAAGTATTATTCTAAATTAATGTTTGACTTGCAGAACTATTTAAATGTTTAATAATGCACTCTAATTTTAAAGAAAAATAATGTTATAATATATTTATAATTTTTTTTATAATGATTTAAATTTAAACTTTTTTTTTGTAAATCAACCATGTTTTAATAATAATAATGAGCTGATTTATTGACATCAACATTATAATTAAACAATACAAATAAAACATACAATAAATTGAATTATGGTTCTCATTTTAAAAACAAAGTTTATATTCATCGTAAACATACTATATTTAATTTTTTTATTCGAAACTTTTTATACTGTAATTATAGCTATTGCTTACGTATATATATAATTAAATGTTACGATAGCTTTAGAAATGTATGATATAACTAAATAACTAATAATATATTTAAAAATAAACCAAGACTAAATCTCGTGTTCTAACCGCATAGATACTTAATGTATAAATTAAATTATAGAAAAGTGGGTAGTTTTTTCTAAGATAATTGCGTGTTATATGTTTACAAGTATATAAACTTAATATTTTAAGTAAATTAAATTGTTATGTATTTTGTTTGTATATATATTATGTATATTTATATAGGTAGATATATACGTCTATATATACATAACATATTTATATAACACATATTATGTACTTCCTACGAATTGTATTTAATGGGTGTCGGTTATAAATTGATATTGCTGGTATGTATACATTTTGGTTTATTTTAATCGGTTGTTAGATGTCAGTGGTATTAAAGGTGTATCAACATAGAAACCAATAAGTCGGTTCAAATTATTTTAATTGACCGCTTGTTCTCTATTGTTATGGAGATTGCGTGACTTGGTCGAGTTTACAGCGATTGACCGACAAATTATTAATAGCTCAACCACCAAAGTTGGTTGGACATTTGACCTTTAGTGTTCATGTAATGTGAGACATATTGATAGTCCATCAATTTTTAAATAACGGATTTTTACTTTTATTTAAGACTTTAATTTTATCAAGAAAAATACGTAGTAACACGAAGGGGAATTCGCATTATTTATTTATACGATTGTCAAAACCAATGAAAACTTTTAAAATGAAACCCAAAAACTCATCGAAGGTACTTTATTTTTTATAAAAATTTGTAATTTAAAACTAATGGATATGGAAAATTCGAATTCATTGATAAGAAAAACGTCCTGAACGGAAACGGTCCGACAACATATATTTAAATATTTTTATATTAGTTATGCTAATATTTTCAAAATATAATTGTGAATGCTTTATTATTATTATTATATGTGAATTGGAAAAAGTGTGAAGTTTCTACGAATGATATTTTTGTATTAAAACAAAAATCATTATTTTTCTTTTGAATATTAAATTGAAATTCAAATGTGTACGAACAAATTGTGCATAGTATTTATTTTCAATATTTTTAAATCACTTCAAGAACAACTTATGAGGGATCTTGTAAGATTGCAAAGATTTTTGATTGGAAGATTGGAAGATTTTTTGATATCAGATATCCATATAGAAAATTCTAAATAGATTTTCGTATACCAAAACAAAAAATAAATAAAATATTTTATATTTAAACTAAAATAAACTACAAGGTGTATACTACTTATTCCTCAACTATCATTCAACTATTATTAATTGTTGTTTTTGTTTAAATCAATAAAGTAATATAATTAATTCTAATAAATATAATATTACCTATTAAATCTTAAATTATGTCATTGTATCGTATAACGGTCATCGGTACAATGTGTGAAATATTATTTTTTGTTATTTTTATTTAATGATCTAAAAAAAAAACTCAATAATAAATTATTTATTAAACGTGTTCATAGATTGAGTTCACAATGTTAACTATTTACTATTAATTTAAAATCAGTATCGATATAGCCATATAGGTAATACTAATGCCTAATGTAGTACCAGAACTATAATAATAATAATAGCTGTGGTATTGTTAATCAATATTTATGTAATTAACTATATTGATGTATTAAGATGTATATTTTTTAATAATAAAATACTAATATTGTTAATGAAATGTATGTTTTTAGATGCTGATTTATTAACTTTCAATTACATGACCTTGTTGGTCGCAGTTTTCACTTCATGGGTTTGGAATGATCATCGTGCATAATCATAGTAGACTTTTTCAAAAAAAAAAAAATGTTTTTTTCTATACTTGCACACCATTTATTATCTATTAAACTATAATATTTTATATTATACTTCACTAAATCGATGCATAGATTGAAAAAATGTTTTTAGGTCCTGTTATATTATTACTACATTATTATTACGTATTGTTTGCCTAATTTTAGTTTTAATCATATGTTTCAATTTATTATATAATTTGTATTATACTAATATTATATCATTTTTTTATTACACATTATTTAAGATTGATATTACTTAAGTGAAACTATATTATATATGTTGCATTTTAATTTAATATAATATATAAATATATTGTACTAATATGAATACATTATTATTATTACATTATTAAAATATTTTACCGAATTCAAACTCGAATTAAAAATAAAACGTAATGTTTATTCTATTTTACAAGTTTGATTTAAATTGTTGTGTATAGGTCATTATATATTACTATTATTATACAAGGTGGATTCAATATCAGATAATAGGTATAACATGTATTGAAGTGATGATAATAATTCATATCTAGATAAATATGATAAAATATAATATTTTAGGTTATAAGCACAGCGATGAATGTATCGATTTTACTACGATGTGTGTGCGTGTGTGTGTGTAACTGTTGCAATCGCCTTTGGAGCCGTAAAAATACTCACATTTTTTTGCTTTAGGATGATTTTTAGTGGAAAATTGGATCTAATTTGTACTAGAAAGGGGACAAAAGTAAAAATGTCATGTACTAAGCAAAATAATTGTAAAAAACAAAATAAATAATGAATAAGACACGAACATTTTTATACAAATCCAGTTTTTAACAAAACTATTTTGTTTTTTTTCCGGCACAACTCGGATGCGAATTACCACGGGTAGATGCTCGAATTTCACAATATTTCAAAACATTTTTCAAAATATTTTGATTCTTTTTGAACTATGTATAGCCATTGGATATTTTTAATTTTTGTTTTTATAAATACCGATAAAAATGGTTTGTTTGGTTAAAAATCTTGAAAATTGAATACAAAGCTTCTTATAATTTGTTTATATAATAATAATAATAATAATATTTATTGATACCAAATTAGAATTACAAACATGTTATAAAATAAAATAGATAAATTAATTGATCTTTGGTTCTCTTTTCAAAAGCAAAGCTTGTGCAGAAAAGAGAGAGCTGTGATACAAAGTGTGATATGCTTACTGATTATTAACTATATTGGAAATTATTTCACAGTTTAACTTTTTCATACCTGTGACTTAATTTAAGGTTTCTCATATGTTGTTCATAGGTACTGAAATCAAAAAATCTTAAAAATATATAAGTACGGATTTTTATTTATAGACATTTGAGTTTGAATTTGGGCGAAATTAATTATTTAAACGAAGAATAACGTTTTTAGTTATTTTGTTATAATTCAAAAACATTATTTGTGGGGACTTGAAACAGTTGAAACTTCTACGTTTGTTATACATTTTACTTTATGCAATGACATTTTGAAAATATTTAGAGTAATTTAGAGCTATTGTATATTTATACTATAAATTTGTAAATTGTATGGCTGTATAGTTACCGACCGATAAAATAGAAAAAAAATTAGCAGGTTCACTCTTGCCACTCCCCAGATTTAGAGGCGCAATTTAAGTGTCTTACAGTTATTGTTTTATATTGAAATTAACATTTTAAACTTTGTAACAAAAATATTTTTTTTAAATTTGTGGATGCCAAAAAAGTGGCATTGTATTTTTTTGTAATGATTTTTAGTCACTTTAATTTCCAATACATGAAATTTTTATTTCTAGACACCTATGATACTTAAAAGTGCTTGGAATATTGGCATTTCCTTTTTTTTTTTTTTTTTTGAGGTCTCTAATTTAACATTGCCATAATAATATCAAGGTATTTAGTATATGTTCTTCCGCTATTCAATTAATAATTAAAATTATAATTAATTATTTTCAGAAGTCGTTTGTTTATCCTCCAATAATAACACACACAAGACAACCATAGAAATTGAATCGGTGGCGACTGGCGAGTATTTTGCTAACAAAAAGCGACAAAAGATAAAATAACGTTGTTGACCAACAGACTTTTACATTATTGGTATACAAATATGAAATAAGTGCAAATAATATATTAACATGATGTATTAAATAACTTCTATGATATTAATCACCAATAAATTATATCCTATAACTGTATAAAAATTAATATTCGTAATCGTAATTAATGAATAGTGTTATAAATATTGTCAATGAATAATATTGAACCACTTATCTGAGAAACGACGTAAGTCTATAAAAAGTAATTCTAAGAAAACAAGAAAAAACTGTTTTTACGCTAGGTACCTACCAGTGATACATGGTCATTTCTCTTTTATACTGATTATTTACATCCGTCTATCATTTGATAACATAATATTCCACTCAATACCTCAATACACGACTTACGTCGTTTCTCAAATAGGTGGCTCAATTGTAAAGGAATTTTATTATAATATTTATTTTCTAACATATTTTATTTACTTTTTTATTATTGGTAAACATATATTTTAAAACATGTAATGAATATTACTTATGGAATATTTTTAGAAGACAGAATATTCAAAGAACTTATGAAATTCTTATCGTCTCATTTTGAGGTTTTTTTCAGTTTCTGTGAACCATTGTGAATTATAGATGTATAAAAATATCATTACACCTACCGTGACCTACGGACATCAAATCACGAAAAATCTGCAATTTATAGTTGAACAACGACTATAGTATTTAGTTGGTATTTAAAACCCGTCTTTTTCGATTTTTCTAAATACTCCACTGTGTACGACTATTTGCAATAATTATTTTATATATGTCACAAAATGTAATTACTAATTACCTATAGATATCATATAATATTATGTAATATTATAGTATATTAATTTGTAGTACCTATAGGTATACCTATATGATAAGTGCACGTCTGTTATTCTTTTATTGTAATATTCATAGAGCTAGTATTATTACAGAACAATTACGTGTATTTTGTGACTGCAGTCTACGCGTACCTATATTATGTGTGATGGTAATTTAAATGATAATCTATGATAACAGATGTAGAGCGCCAGGAATATCCGTTACAATAAATTATTTTTACGTAACCAGTTAAATTATTAATTGTAAGCCCAATGGCCTATGTTGCCGAAGGTATTTCATTAATAAAAAAAAAAATTATAATATTGCATAATATTATAATAAAATAATTAATAACCATAGGTTTGTACTTGTTTAATTTTGGACATGCGACATGTGGCAGAATTAATTCTGTAGAGCAGCGGTTTCCAACCTTTTTAGTTGTGCAGACCACCAATTTTGTAAAAAAAATCTCTGAGGCCCACTTATATACGTAATCACATATATATCCATACAGCAGTTATGATAATATAATAATATTATATGGTTCATGGTCCATTACCAAGCTGCTAGCGGCCCATGGGTTAGGAACCGCTGCTGTTGAATGTAAAATAGACCTCTGTAGTGCTACGTTTATAAACAAAACCCATTATCTTCTTAGAGTATATTATTATCATAATCCCCAAAGTCCTAAAAGTAATTAACTCGTATAGTCTTATATACATACTTATAGGTATATTACATAAGATATTATAAAAAAAAGTAAAAACATTATGCGTATTGGACTATTGGAGTTTCACTTTTGAAAAGTATATATATTAAGTCAATAACTATACCCTATTGACTGCACCAGCATTTTCTCAATTATCTCAAGGCATACTATTCTTCCAGGTTCCAGGTAATCGCTTATAACATCAACGCCAAACCTCCAGCGATAGACTATCGAGCAGAGCGTCGCCGTCGCTTCTATATATTGTTGTGTGATATTACTTGCTAGTTGCTTCCTAAAAAAAGAACATTTTGCTGGCAGTGAATTCCACCGGTCACTTTTGTGACCCCGAAAAGGGATGAAAGTTGTCTGTATCTTAACTCAACTGACTAACAATTGGTGAAATTATAAGACATACCTAGGAGTTTTGCCTGGACCATCAATCTTATATGTCATTAAACTTGGCATGTTACTGCAACCAGTGTCATTTTAAATAATAAGTACCTATTTATACTGACATACTGTACATAATATAACATAATGTGCAACCTGTGATAAGGTGCTGGGCAATGTTATTGTAACTAATTATAATTCTATGGATGATTGTTAATATAATTATCGGTAAATATTTATAAGCGATAAATGTATTTATACATCTAATTCATATTTTGTAATATTGATCTTGAATAATTTTGGTTTTGGAATCTAAGCTATTAGCACCAAATATTATTGTGTAAACATTAAAAATATATACACTTGTGATATTAACATGTTATTGTGTTTGAGTATAGACAAATAAAATCAATATGACAAAGTTACTTAGATATTTACAGTAATGTAAGTATTGGTTGGTTGTATTATATTAGGTATAATAGAAAACTGATGGATTAAAAATATTAATTATATTGTGATCTATTATAGTGTTCTAGTAATTTGTTTCACTGGAAAAACCGTTTTCTGAAAGTTACAACTTTTATTCTCTGGATCTGTAGGTACCTATCTAAGCTTTCTGCAATAAGATTACTTTTTTGAATTTCTTTCTGCTCTTTTAGAATGATGCCTATTGGCTATATTCACATGCTGATTGTCACGGAATACAATTTATGAATAATGAACATAGACCAATATTGGAAACTGTGCTTGGATCATGAGCAATTTAATATTATGTAAAGAGTGTGCAATTGCTTGCGGATTCGAGTATTTTTGACTTAACTTTTCATGTTAACCTAACCTAACCTAACCTAGTGTTTCTAGCACAATAATGGATCGATATGGGTATAAATAGCCGCTGAGAACCAAGTAGTATTGGAACCATGATAAGGTAATATGGCCCTACGAGGCAATCAAAAAACGTTGTTGCGTGACATAATATGTCGTATTACGAATATTTGAAATAAT